TAAATTTTAAAACCAAACTATACCAAACTTGGAGAGTTGATCAAATATTGCTAATTTTTTTTCAAATACAGGGTGGCGCATCTCATTGGCCTCGGTTGATTATACGAAAACGGAAAATGTAGAAACAAAATATTTTATGGGTATATGTGGGAAGGCAATGTGCATAATTTAAAATTATTTTGAAATGTATAGGGTGTGTCAGAACTAAGATCTATACCAAAGTTATATTTTTTCTTATGGAACACACATGGTAATTTTTTTTGGATTCTTGGTCATAAAAAAAGGCATTTATTATTAGGGGTTAATATGTTTAAAGCTATGGTTTTTAAGATAAGATAAAAAAAAGATAAAAGATTTTTTTTTATCTTTTTTTAAAGATATAAAAATAAAAGATATTTAAAGATATTTAAATATACATACATACATACATACAGCCGTTACTCGCTGACGAGTATTCGACACACATAAAGAAAATGGTCACGCAAGGCGTTTTCTTTCATGAGCTTTTCTGTGACTGAAAAGCCCGATACGTGATGTTATCTGCCTACCGCACTCCGGACATTCAAAAATCTCATTGCTTTGTTGCCTCTCTACTTTTTGGTTGCCGCTGTTAACTGAGTTTACAACCCTTCTCCATTGAGTTCTATTGTGAGCTGCTTTTTCCCACTCATTCTGCATGTTAATTCCCTTTAAATTTTCGTGGAAAATGTCCTTGTATCTTTTCAGTTGTCCACCCGGCCTCCTCTTACCGTCCACAAGCTCACCGTAAAGCAGAGATTTTGGTATGCGGTTTTCTTGCATTCTGCATACGTGACCAGCCCATCTTAAGCGGGATTTTGTGACCATGACTTCAATACTCTCGCAGTTAGATTTTTCAAGGACCGATACGTTTGAGACATGATGGAACCACCGGACTCTTAAGAGTTGTCTAAGGTGTCTCTGTTGCAACTTGTTCAATGCGTTCATGTGTCGGCGGTAAGGCACCCAGGTTTCGCTCCCATATATCATGGTGGGGATTATAATTGCTCGGTATACTGCAAGTTTTGTTTTTGTACTCAAGTCATGATTGTAGAAAACCCTGTCTTTTAATTTCCAGAATGCTCTTGAGGCGCTACTAATCCTGTGCTGAATTTCAGAGTCAATATTGGCCTTTTCCGAAATCAAACTGCCAAGGTAATTGAATTCCGCCACATATTCGAATAGTTCTTCTCCGATTTTTATAGCATTGTTGTGATCTTCCGGGGGAGTGCACATGATTTTAGTTTTGCCGATGTTCAGCTTAAGGCCCAAAGCCTCGTATGCCCAGGTATATGTGTTCAACATTTCTTGTAATTGTTGTACCGTGTTTGCAACTAGAGCGCAGTCGTCAGCGTATTGAAGTTCTGTGATAAATTTTGTACGTGTTTTTGCCCTGAGTCTTTTTATGTTGAACAGACCGCCGTCATATCTCTATCTAATGCCCAATCCTCTCTCCTGCAGTTTGCTGTCCACTATAATGGAGAGCGCTGCCATGAATATGTTGAATAGGAGAGGCGCTAAGACACATCCCTGCCTAACTCCTGTATTTGTTAGGAATGGGTCGCTCAGTGATCCATGATGTGACACTCTTGACTTGTTGTTGTTATGGAGGCTTTTACACTGTAAGAAATTTGTTGGGTACTCGAACTTTTCCATAATTGCCCAAAAGCGCATCTCTGTTCACAGATCGAAGGCTTTTGTTAGATCGATGAATGCAACATAAAGTTTAGACTGCTGCTTTTTTACTTTTTCCTGTAGTTGACGGATGGAAAATATGGAATCGACGGTGCCGCGGTTGGTACGAAAACCCGTTTGCGATCCTGGGAGGATTTTTTTTCTATATATGGGTGCAGGCGGTTTGACATTATTTTTGCAAGAATTTTTCCGCCGATAGCTAATAGCAAAATTCCCCGGTAATTACCGCAGTCTGATGCACTTCCTTTGTTCTTAAATATATTCACTATATTCGCGTTGCGAAAATCGTGAGGTACCTCTCCGCTTTCCCATACGACATCAAAGAGAGCCTTAAGATGATCCATAATTTCTTTACTTGCACACTTATAGATTTCCGCCGGAATCGCGTCACAGCCAGCTGATTTGTTGCTGTTTTATGGAGGTCTTTATTTCTTGTTCTGTTATTGGGATGTCTAATACATCGAGGCTGTTATACTGAGGTATTGTGTTTAGTGCTTCCATATTGGGGTTGTTTTCTTGGTTAAGGATATGGCTGTAATGTTCTTTCCAGTGATTTCTGATTTGTTCTTCCTCTTTTAGAAGTTCGCCATTTTGAGCCATGATTGGGCAGCTTACCTTCTTAGTTGGACCGTATACTTCTTTTACAGCCTCGAAGAATTTACGATAATCGTGATGAGTGGCGTACTCTTGAATCTGATTCGCTTTTTGTGACCACCAGTTATCCTTTACTTGGCGCAGTTCTCTTCGAAGGGTGTTGTTGGCTGCTTTAAAGTTATCTACCAGTCTTGGATTAAGTGGATTTGCAGTGACGGCTTGATGTGCTCTATGCTTTTGTTCCAAAAAAGCCTGTATATGCTGTTGATTTTCGTCAAACCAGTCTGGTTGTTTCTTTTTGTTCGACTTTCCCAGTACTGCTTCGCTGGTTTTATGAATCGCATCCCTTAATTGTGTCCAGTCTTGTTCAGCTTCCAATATTGAGATTGAAGTTATCGGTGGAAGTGATTCTTTGATGGCTTCCCGGAGGGCGTCGGCGGTATTCTTGTTCTCTAGATCCCGTACGTTCAATCTGGTCATGTTGTTTTGCTTTTTACAGCGTGGATGTTTGGGTTTTAACTGGATTTTCATTTTTGAAATTAAAAGTCGGTGGTCAGTGCCGCATTCGGCATCTATTCTAGCTTTTGTGAGCCTAACATCTTTTAGATGCATCCTTCGAACGATTATGTGGTCCAATTGATGCCAGTGGCCTGATCTAGGATGTTTCCAGGTATCTTTAAACTTGTTCATCAACATGAACCACGTATTGGTGATGCAAAGATTATACTCTGCGCATGTTGTTAATAAGCGTTCACCATTGCTATTTGCGTTTTCCATTGTTTTCCCAATACGTCAGGCCATATTTCCTGTTGTTTGCCTACACGGGCATTAAAGTCACCTAGCAAGATGATTCGTTCGTGCTTTGGAATTCGTTGAAAGGCATTTTGTAATGCTTGGTAAAATTTATCCTTATCTTCAATTTTAGCGTCAAGGGTGGGAGCGTAGGCACTAATGTTGTTGACGTAAGTTTTGTCTGATATGGGGTACCTTAGGGTCATAAGACGTTCGGAGACACCAATAGGTACTTCTGTTAACTTGGTGGCGATTTCGTTTTTGATCGCAATGCCTACACCATGAATTCTCCTGTGTGTTGCGGGGTGACCTTTCCAAAAGAAGGTGTAATGCTCCTCAGTGAGACTACCTTCATCTGCAAAGCGTGTTTCGCTTAGAGCGGCAACATCTATATTTAATCGGTGGAGTTCCTGTGAGACCAGTGCTGTTCTTCTCTCTGGTCGATTTGAATTTATCTTGTCCAGTAGAGTGCGGACGTTCCACGCCGCGAACGTGAAACATTGATGATGTTTTTTGTTTCTCCGATGATACGCTCGAGTAGGCACCCCCTCCCGGAGATCCGATTGAGGGGTATTTTACCTCCGGACGATAATTTTGTCCCACTCGAATGTTCCATCATTGCTGTGTGTAAGCTGCGTGAAAAGGTTTAACTGTGGCGGTTACGCTGCCGCACAGTTTTGGCTGCAACTGTAGCACGGGATGGCTATGGCACAGTGAGGACTGCGACGATAGTTCCCTTGTGCTACGTTCTCGGCCGGCTAGGTGTATTTTATTACTCCTTTTCCCCAGAAGATGGTAGGTCTGAGGGTTGTATAAGGTTATACCGCCTATACTCGGACGTCAGAGCCTCGTTTGTGTAAACAGGGTGCACCACGTGAAGGTGAGGTTGACTTTTGGGTAAGCTAGGCTATATGTATCGCTTCAATACAAATTGCACCCTATTTAAATATATATGCTGTAATAAAAAAGTTTGTCAACACCTTGTTCATTACTTTTCAGAATTAATTCTTGTGCTGACTCTCAAGCCACAGAAATAAACATTACTAAAAAATTTGATTGCTTCCTTAAATGTATAAAGGGGTATCAAATTGCTGGTCTTGATGTCAGCATAAGAATTAACTCTGAAAAGTAATGTACAGGGTGTTGACAAATTTTTTATTATAGCATGCATATTTAAATATCTCAAAATCCAAAGCATTTAAACATACTAAACCTTTATAATAAATGTCTTATTTTATGCCCAAGAATATATTTTGTTATCATCCAAAAATGAAATAAAATACCGGGTGTCTCATAAAAAAATATAACTTTGGTGTGGATCTTAGTTCTGACACACCCTGTACATTTGAAAACAATATTAAATTATGCACCCATAAAAAAGTTTGTCTCTACATCTTTCCGTTTTCGTAAAATCAACCGAGGTGAATGAGGTGCGCCACCCTGTATATCTAACTATAACATGAGCAAAATATAAAAAGTGGAATAAATAATTTACAACCACTAACTCAAGAAACTGTGTATACAAAAGTCAGGAGTAAAATAAATCTCTTTATAAGATGACGTTACCGAGCATGAATATATTCCAATTGTATGCATGGCCAATATAAATCGTACAATTATCGTACATTAATAAATCATTACAATAATAAACGAACATCAAACGTTTCTATCACTATTTTGCAAAAGTTCGTTTAAAAATATGATCTTTTATTAAAATTATGTCAGCGGAAAGTGGTATTGTTAAAAATATTTTAACGACCATGTTTTCCTGCAGTTTTTGAATAGACCTTGTTATGCTATTTTAACTATACCACTTTTATAAAAAAAATGTTGTTTATGAACTACGTAGCAATGTTATCTTGTTAGAAAGTATTTTTAGAAATATACACTTCTAATTTTAGGTCATCCCACAGTTGTCAAAACCAACATTCTTATCAGAAGTATGGGTCCTGTATCAGAATTAGACATGGTAAGTTTTAGAAAATACGGAAACCTTATGATAACTGTATGGAGTTTATAAATAAAATTAATATACAGACCGGACCATCGTAATTGTAACATAGGCAAAACCGGACGAATTAGCGTATACCCGTCCGCCGGATAAAAAGCAAACGAAAAAATGCGATAAAATAAAAATAGATAGATATGTGATAAGAATGTTTCTGAATTTGTATTTATTCGTGTTTTAATAGCCAAAACGAATTCATAGATTCTCGCGACAGCTCTCGTGTAAAATTTATTTTTTAAGTGAAATAATGGATGTTTACGAAGTTCGTGAGAAAATTCAAATTGTAAAATGGTATTTCCAAAATAGGTCTTATCGGGATATACAAACAAATGTTTCCACAAACTTTTGTAAACAGGCCAATTCCATCTTTACCTACTATATCAAGAGTTATTAATAATTTTGAAACACATGGGTGCGTGTCCCCACAAAAACACAAAAAGCCTGATGTGTTGATTAGTGAAGAACAGGAGTTAAAGCAAGTGTTCGTTTGTGCTACCGCGGATCAAAATCCCACGTCGTCATGTAATCAAATTGTTGAGGTAACAGATTCTTCATCTAGCACGGTTAAAAGAGTCCTTAAAAAGAATGGATACCGATCATATAAAGCGCGCAAAACTGGAAATTTTCCATGAAGACCAATTTTGGCGTATGGCGTTTTGTGAATCTGTAATGGAAAAAGCCAATTTAGATGAAAACTTTATTCGGCGTATAGTTTTCACCGACGAATCAAGTTTTCATTTATTGAGTCGTCATAACCCTACACAAGTACGATATTGATCTCGGGAAAATTTGCACAGATATTTTGAGGTACGCACGCAATATCCTCAAAAGCTAAATGTTTAGGGTGGTTTTGTAGGGGAGCATATGATTGGTCCATTTTTTATAGAGGGTAGTTTAACTGTTGCAAAGTATTTGGACCTGTTACAGCAGCAGATTGTGCCTAGAATTTGTGAGTTATTGGGAGAAAGATTCTACAATGTCTGGTTTCAACAAGATGGTTGCCCTGCCCTCAAGAATATTTGAACAATACTTTTCCTTTTCCGTTTAATTAGAAGATATGGAACTATTTTGTGATCCGCTAGATCACCAGATCTTTCTCCCAATGATTTCTATTTGTGGGGTTATGTAAAATCCAGAGTGTATGGTCATAATAGGGCTAATAATCTGGATGAGCTTCAAGTAAAAATACGAGAGGCTTTCCAAACTATTAGCCCTAATATGTTAGCCAATGTCAGACGGGGATTTTACGACCGCCTAGGCTTCTTTCTAGCACAAGAAGGTGGTCTTTTTGAACACTTGTTATAACTTTTTTTATTTAGAGTAATACTTTAGTTTTTTTATGATTTTATTGATGTATTTTTTAATTTTGGAAATGAGTTTTGAGTTTAGAGAATTTATTTATTTATAGTTTTGGCTTGTAAACACACTCAAATAATAAATATTTAAGTATTTTTACTTTAAATGTTACCTTAAGTGAAGGTAAACACTTAAAATGAAAATAATTAATACTCGGCACTCCTCGTGTCGTATTTCTAGTCTGCTACGACCGACCCGTCCAAGCACAACTGCAACTGCCTACTGCCTGACCAGCCGACTAGCCGGCAGTGAATATCAAGTATGAACGCAATCGGGTAAGCGTAAATTCGTCCGGCAAGTTGCTATGTTACTAGTAGCCTGGTCTTCTCTGTATATGACCATCTGTAATAATGTGAAGTAACTACATACATACCTATTTTTCTTGTTTGTGTTGTTAGTTTTAATTTTTTTATCTCTGCCTTTTTAGGGTCTGATTTTGTTGTTTTATCACTCAACTCAAATGTTTATGCCGTTGCTTATAATGACGTTTTCAATTGCCTTAATCTATCAATATAAATTTGGGAGATATCGCGTCTCCCTGTCGTACTCCTTTGCCAATTGAGAATTCTGGGGTTGTGTTATATATCATTACTATTGCTTTGGCGTCTTTGTATACAGGGTGAGTTTCCTACGATGTTCTCTATGGGTATCTCGGAACCTATTGGAGATAGAGAGTCGGTTAAATGGCGATAGAATTGCAGTTTTGTGGGGTCATAAATATGCGCCTTTCAGATTTTTGAAAAAGTTCATGGCTTACTAGATATTTCGAAAAAAAAAACACAAATTTCTACTATTTTAAAAATTATCCTAATTCCATTATAATCTATTTTAGACAAAAACGTTTCAAATAAAACTTTTCAAAAAAATGTCATTTTTGACATATGACGCAAACACATGCTTTTTTAAATGGAAACCATAGTTGGCCATTACTTCATAAAAAGCGTCATTTTTTAACCTTTTTGACGATATAAGCTGTAATATGTTTTCTTCGAAAAAGTACTGAGTTATAGCCAATTCTTTTCATTTTTTAAATAATTTCACTTAGTTAGCCATAAAAACAAGTTTAATCGTCTTTACTCTCATAAATGTGAAGCTGTCACATCCAAACTTTGTAAATTAAAATAAGCGCAAATTGTAAATATGAATTTTTCAAATGAAGAAAAGCGTGTAAGATTATTGGTTCAACTTTATAGCCAATTCTTATCTTTCTTGACTAATTTCACTTAGATTGCATGGCATTCTTATTCTTTTGTGATTTATAACTTATAAAAAGTCAGAATATATTACTAGGACTCAGATGCGGTAAATGGACGTTACGTGTTGGCCAGGTTGAGGGACCCCTCCATTTTGAAACCTCTTAGGCTATTCCTTGCCTATCTTCACGACCAACCATCCAGTGTGTGTTTTGAAGGACACACTAGTACCAGCATCAAATTGATGCTTGCATCAGAAAGGCTACCTAGTGACCTGGACTCCTTGCGTAAGTTGTACTACCGCTTCCACAACGCCTATGGTATTGGTTCAACTGAAGTTGATGCAGATCTTTCAGCTTTCAGGTCATTCTTTGCTGCAGAGAGCCTTCTACGACTTCAAAAGATTAGGGAAAGTCATGGCAAATATTATTCCGGTGGTTCCCCAAATAAGAGTAAAATTTTTTAGTTGAATTGACGCGAACAGAGGATCAAGCACCCTCTGAAAAATTAAGCGATAGCAAGCTTGGTCTATTCCTTATTAATATTCTGTCCTTAAGACATAAAACAGATGAATTATATCTTTTACTAGAAGAACTTGAATTTCCAGATATCATTGCCATAACTGAGCACTGGTTGAATTTTGATGAGCCTGTGTTTGTTAAAAATTATACCACAGTAGCCAGATTTGATAGAACAAATTTTTCTCATGGAGGTACTATGATAATGTCTTTAAACAACGACTTTTCCGAGGTAACTAGGTACAATGATTTGTTATCTGAAAAAGTATTCGAATTTTCCATTGTCCACCATAATGCTTATGACCTTTACATTATTTGTATTTATAGAACACCTGACTCTGACGTGCAATTATTCTGTCATAATCTACTAAGCTTGCTTGAGTCCCTGCCCTTGAAAAGCAAATTAATTTTGTGTGGTGATCTTAATATTGACTTTCTTAGTGTATGTGCTGCTCAGGAGTTTCTTCAGTCCATTTTTGATTCTTTTGGAATGGCCATGCATGTAGGCTCACCTACCAGAATATCCAATACCAGTTCTAGTACTATAGACTATGTTGTGTCATCTTTTGATCCTAACTCCATCGCCTGCAACGTCTTTAGCTCGGGTCTCTCTGATCATGAAGCAGTTTTAACTGAATTTTCGATAAAGTCCAAAATCAAAAATGCCCCTCGTAAATTATGCCGTATTTTTTCAGAAAAGAATGCTCAAAAGTTCAGCCACTTATGTAAAACAACCAACTGGGATACTAGCTCTTATGATGTCGACACCGAATTTTCTATTTTCGTAAAAACATTAACCAGTCTAGCGTTCAAATCCTTTCCTCTTAGGCCTATAAAAATAAGCATAATAAACCTTGGACCACTAAAGGTCTACGCATATCTTCTAAAAACATGCGTTCATTATCTCACTTAAAAAAAAAATTCTCAGACAGTCTCTTCTTCCACAATTACGTAAAACTATACAGAAAAATTATCATAAGACTATAAGAGCCGCTAAGGACCTTTATTATAATAGGAGAATAGTCAATTCTGGTAATGTTACTAAGGAAACATGGTCTATTGTGAATGAGTTGAGAAACAAAGCTTCTTCGTCTAGCAATATCTCTACCTCGCCTGAGAACCTTAACGATTACTTTGTAAATGTAGCGAAAAACTTAACTAATACCATATGTCCTCCTCATGATCCACTTTCTTATCTCTCTAATGATAATGTAAACTTACACAGTTTCTTTTTTTCGCCCGTAGTTCTTGAAGAGCTTCGCAGTACAATTAATACCATCAAAATAAATCCTCTTCTGGGACCGACGGGCTAACTTTAAAAATGTTTTCGAATCTGCCAGAAAGCACTCTGAATCACCTAACAACTTTAATAAACATGTCGTTCCAAAATGGTATTTTTCCAAAATGTCTTAAGACGGCAATAATCATTCCACTGCACAAAGGAGGAGACAAAGATGAAGCTTCTAACTATCGCCCAATTGCACTCCTTCCAACGCTATCTAAGATCATAGAAAGGTTGGTTAAAAGCAGGCTGGTATCTTTTCTGTTTAAGTACAAAATACTTACTGAATATCAATTTGGATTTCTGAGCAACAAGTCCACAAATGACGCTATGTTTTCCCTAATAAAGTTTACTCCAGCCTAAACAACCATCATTCTACAGCAACAATTTTCTGTGATTTTTCTACGGCGCTCGATTGTGTAAATCATAAGATCCTAATTAATAAACTGCAGCACTATGAGTTCAGGGGATCATCTCTCGAATGGTTTAAGTCGTATCTGAGCAACAGAAGTCAACTTGTGCGGGTGGATACCACGTTGTCTTCTAGCAAGCCAATAGAATGTGGAGTACCACAAGGCTCAGTACTAGGCCCTATTTTGTTTCTTCTTTTTA